GACACTCTGCCTATCACTCTAATCCACTTTACACCATAAAGCAAACATGGTAATCCCCAAGAAGAGTGGTCCTTACTCCTCAACTGCTAAATACTGGGTCGAAGATAAATTAATTCTGCAGAATTTTTCACTAAAATTTAAGTACTCTGGTTCTTAAAAATGTCCAATGCTACACGGCAATCCATTTAAATGATTCCTTTCTCATTTCTCTTCAGCGAAAATAAAAATAATTTATTAGTGATGAACCTCATCTTACTTTCCCTTTCTCTGTTCTAGCTTTCACTGTAAAGTTACCAAGAATATATTATTTTAAAAGTTGGCCGGTGCCGTGGCTCACTTGGCTAATCCTCCAACTGCAACGCCGGCACCCCGGGTTCTAGTCCAGGTTGGGGCGCCGGATTCTGTCCTGGTTGCTCCTCTTCCAGTCCAGCTCTCTGCTGTGGCCCAGGAAGCAGTGGAGGATGGCCCAAGTGCCTAGGCCCTGCACCCGCATGGGAGACCAGGAGGATGCTCCTGGCTCCTGGCTTCAGATCGGCGCAGTGCCGCCTGTAGCAGCCATTTTGGGGGAAGAACCAATGTAAGGAAGACCTTTCTCTCTGTCTCTCTCACTGTCTAACTCTGCCTGTCAAAAATAAATAAATAAGTAACTTAATGCCTTGGTTTTACCCCAAAACAATTCTATCACAACATCTGGGTATGGAGTTTATTAACCTGCTCTAGACATTTTATTTGTATCTAAACCTTCACCTGTTCTCTCTTCTCTAACAACTCCAACTCTATCTTGATTCATTACTTAACAATTTTGTAATAGCAGCAATCTTTTGTTCTCATAAATCTGACTCGTCCAAAATTTAAAAGTTTACTAAAAAATAAGCTATGATAAATAAGCAAAAAGCAAAAAAAGGTTATAACAAGTCAGCTGTCATTTAAAAATTGAGGATCTATATTTAACAGTTCATTTAACAACATAACCTAAGTAAAATACTACCTAAAGTATATACCTTTTTACAGTATTTTAAAGTTTGTTACCACATCACCTATAATTATATGTAACTGAAAAAATGTTAGATATAATATTGCTAGATTACAGTTACAAAAAATATAATTACTAGTTAAGTATACTTCATAATACTACTAGTAACAAAAAATCAACATTTTCTATTTCATGAGCTAAAAAGTAATAACTTTCCAAAAATACGCATGGTATTATATGATTCCAAAAAGGACTTTTTTGATTTTTAGTGCAAATTTCAATGTTTTGCCTAAGTGTGAATTTAATTGTATTTTCATGCAAGTAGGGCTTTATACCATCCCTTAAGGTAGATACAGTATACTTACACATGCTAGCCCAATTCTGAAAACAATGTTGGTACCCTCTTGAGTACTGGTCCTCAAATCTGACATTTTTATTCATAATCTTCTCTGTCCATTTCTAGCCATCTTCTAATTTACACTTAATAAATGGGTTATGATAAGTTACCCTTCCCCAAAATTTCAAAACATAGAAATTTCTTATGAGCAAGCTAGTGTGAATGAAACCGATTCTTCTCATAGACCCAGGTTACTAATAATCTGAAATTCCACTACATCTCAAAATGATTTAGAAGCCTAAATCAATTCTATGAAAATTCCTGGCACATGGAACCACAAAACTAAAAGTGTTTCTTCATCGGAAAAAAGAAATGGAACAAGTAACGCAAGAAATCTCGAAGCCCAGATAATTTCACTGGAGAATTCTGCCAAATAGTTGAAGAATAATTAACACTAATTTTACACAATCTCTTCCCAAAAAAAGTGTTCAAGAGAGAACACTTCCCTCCTGATTTTATGATGATCTTTTCCTGATCCCAAAAAACTTTACAATAACAAATTAAGAAATGAAAATATCGGCCATTGGAGGGTGAACCAACAGCAAAGGAAGACCTTTCTCTCTGTCTCTCTCTCTCTTACTGTCCACTCTGCCTGTCAAAAAAAATAAATAAATAAAAAATAAAAAAAAGGAAGAAATGAAAATAACAGACTAGAACCTGTCATGAACTTAGATGTAAAATTCCTCAACAAAACGTTAGCAAGTAGATTCAGCAGTGCATAAATCAGTATAATAACATAATCAAATGTGATTTATTACAATACAAAGGTTGGTACAACATTTAAACAGCAATCAATGTAATCCAATGTATCAACAGGCTAAAGAAATCATACCAACTGACGTGAGAAAAAAACTGTTGACAAAATCCAACAACCATGCCTGATAAAAACAAGAATCCAACTAAGAATAGACAAGTTCCTCAACTTGATAAAGATCAGTTACAAAAAAATAAAAACTTAAAAATCACACTTAATGCTCAAAGAGAAAATAGTTTCTCCTCCAGATCTCATCAAAATATAAAGCGTAAAAACTACAAAACTTTTAGGAAATAACAAAGGAGACAATACTTAGCATTCAAGGCTAGGCAAACAGCTCTTCAATTTGACAATAAAAATAACAGCTGTAAAAGAGAAACTGGTTAATTGAACCTAATGAAAATTAAAACCTACAGAACAATCCTGTAATAAGAATGAAATACAAGTCACAGACTGGGAGAAAATATTTGAAAACTTCATACCTAATTAAGGAGTAGTATCTAAAATATATCTTAAAAATTCTCAAAACTCAGCCAAAGGAAAAAAAAATCCAACTATAAATGGGCAAAGGACATAAACACATACTTCATCAGAGAGAATATACAAATGACAAATATACAAAAAGATGTTTATCACTATCAGTCATTAGGTAAATGCCAAAAACCACAATGAGAAATCACTACAAATCTACCAAAATGGCTAAAATAGTGACAATACCAATGTTGGCAAAACAAGGAAAATAACTAGATCACTCACTTATACACTGGTGCTAGAAATACAAGATGATGCAGCCATTCTAGAAAACATTCTGGCAGCTTCTCATAAAACTAAATATGAAGTATCATACAACCCAGCCATCACACACTAACATTTGCCTCAAAGAAATAAAACTTTACATAAAAACATTCAGAAAAATGTTGATAATTATTTTAGGATTAACAAAAACTAGAAATAATCCAAACAGCCTTTAACAAATGGATGATTACATAAACTGCAATATGCACATGCCATGGAATATTACTCAGCTATAAATAATGAATTGTTGACAAATCCAACTTCCATGCAGTTTAAGTGAATTATAGTAAAAATTACAGTAGGTAAAAAAAAAAGCCAGCTCTACAAAAGTCACGTACTATACGATCCCACTTAGATAACATTCTTGAAATGAGAGAATTATAGAAATGAAGGGCAATTTAGTGATTGACAGAGGTCAGACTCAAAGGGTTGTGAGTGAAATGAGGATGGGTAGGTTTAAAAAAAAATAAGAAGGAGTATTCCTATGGAGAATAGTGTTCTATATCCTCAGTGTGTCAATACCAACAACCTGCTTGTATTTTTTACTACAGTTCCATAGTATGTTACCACTGGAGGAAACTGGATGAATGATATACAGAATATCTCAGCATTATTTCTAAAAATTACAATTAGCTGGAAATTGAAAGTTAATTTAAAAAGTACTTGGTACCCAAACCAGAAGAAATAAGCATATGAAAATTATCTGTACCTCCATGTTCATTGCAGCTCAATTCACAACAGCAAAGATATGGAATTAACCCACATGTTTATCAACTACTGATTGGATAAATAAATTATGGTATATACACACTAGAGTACCATTCAGCTATTAAAAAATGAAATCCTGTCTCTTGCAATAAAATGGATGCAAATGGAAACCATTATACTTAGTGAAATAAGTCAGTCTCAAAAGATAGTACCATATGTTTTCCCTGATCCAAGGTAACTAACAGAGTACCTTACATGTAATGTACTGTTGTGAAATGGACATTTTGAGATTTGACGACTGTTTACAGCCCCTTTCGCTTCTGTTTTTTTTTTTCTTCATACTATTTGTTGAAGTCTTTTATTTACTGTAGGGTTAAATTTATTATCATTAAGTAAACTGAAAGTAGATCTTTGTAAAAATTAAGAGAATGGGAGAGGGAGGAGGAAGAAGGGTTGTAGCGTTGGGTGGGAAGGAAGGTTGGGACAGAAATATCACTATGTTCCTAAATCTATATATGTGAAATACATGACACTTGTACAACATAAATATAATTTTTTGAAAAATAAAAATAATAAAAAGCACTTGCTGGATTTGTATTCAATTTGTACTTATCTAAAATTTTGTTAGTTTGTTCCTAATTACAAATATTTCAGCCATTTCAAATTATTTACTTCTGTAGCATAAGAAGAAATTGCTTCTATCATTAGAGGTATCCAACATAAATAGATCTCACATAAAAGCTGGCCCTCTTTATTAAAACTGTTAAAATAGATTTAAGAGCATATTTCAATTGGTTACTTCACTGACCAAAGACATAAGTAGTGGACCTTCAAAGCAACAGGAAGGATATAAAGTTGAAAAATCAGTTTTTATGATTTTGTGTGAAATTGATCAACAAATAATTTACATGCCCATCATAAAATAGTATTAACCTATCAAAGTGATTTTCCACAATCTATTGATTTTGAGCTTACTTTATTTTTTTTTTCCATTATTTTTTACCTGAGAAATGGGAGACTGAGAGAGAAAGTACAGGTCTCAGAAGCTGGAAGCTGGGAATGCTGTTATGCAGGTCTCCAATGTTAGGCAGCAGGAACCCAATCACTTGAGCCATCACTGCAGCCTCCTCAGATTTGTTTTAGCAGGAAGCCTGAGTCAGAACTGGAGCCAGAAGTCGACCACCTGTACTTCAGTATGGGATCCACACGTCTTACCTGCTAGGCTAAATCTCTTCCCTGAGCTTACTTTTGAATACAGTCATATCTGACCATGACACGGAACGAACCATTCAATTTGCTTACATATGTATCTTAAACAGATAAGCCTGGGATAAAAATTCTAAATTTTCAAAGAAAAAAGAATCATAAATTACCTGCACACCGAACACTGCCGCTGAGGTTGAAGAGCTGTGAACATGACAATCATTGAATAGTTCCGAGGCGGAGCCTTTATAAATTTTCGGAATTTATCACCGTTCATTCGGAAGATTGAGCGCCTGGAGCTCCATTCCATCAGCTGTTCTACTTTTTCAGCTAAAAGGTTCTGCAAATAAAGAGAACTTAAATTTACACAGGGTGAAAGTCCTGGATTTCCTATGGACACTGTTAGTAAAATGGCATGATCCATGCCCCTGACACCATCCTAGGCTCTAGCCCCCACCGTCATTGCTGGAACCCAGGTGGCCGCATGGCCCAACTACAGGTGTCAGTTCCACCCCTACCCTAATGGGATTCACTGCTCCTACTTCCCTGGCCGCCCCCATCAAAGTTTTAAAAGGACCTGTTCCTGAACACAGGCCTGTCTGTCTCTGTCTGTCTGTTTCTCTGTGTCTCTCTCTCTCATGCCTTCCTCTCTCTCTGTTTCTTCTTCTTCGCCCCTACTCTCTGGTCTGTTGGGTTTCCCCACCTATAAACTTTCCATTCCTTACTCCAGTGTTTAGTTTGTTTTGTGGCGGCCTTACAAACACAACACAATTACATAAGATTATATTTTCCCCCAAATTAATTTCTGTTAAAAGTGCTTCCTTTAGACAATATATTTGTTGTTAATTGACTAGATATGCATGAAATATTAAATTTTATTTCCTAATGATCCAAAGCTTTAAAAAGATATTAAAAGTAAAATAATTGTATTTCCAATTCCAGAAAGAAAAATGACTGACATTTTTCTAATATTCTCACAATTTCCAATGTTCTTGCAGCTAAAATTTCTGGTCATTAAGTAAAACAAAGCAACAACCCCTCCCCCCAAAAAAAATCAGAAGACTCGGTAAAGCTCAGAGAAGGCTGACTGACTAAAGACGTGAAGAATGACACACTAAGGAGCTGCTGGGGGCTGTCCGGACCCCATACTTCCCAGACGGCTTGCTGGACAAGCTGCCAACCCAGGAAAGCCAGTGAGTGCCTCAAAAAATGTTTGCTCTCTTTACTCAAAGGACAAGGAAAGGGGCAACCTAGTAAGAAAAAATATAGTGCTCTACTCCAGCCAAGCCCCTCAGGGAAGAAAGAAAATAAACCCCTGTGTCATCCCCACCCTCCCTAGCAAGGCTGAATGGGAGCCTCCACCTACCAATTTCCCCTAAGCATTTACCTGCAGTCACACTAGGGAATCTCATAGAGGCAAAGCTGAAACCATATGCAAAAGAAAGATGGTGTGATTCTATTTCTATTGGGGATGACTCTGGGCAAAGACTAGTGACTCTTGTGGTAGAGAGGGACTGAGGAAGGCACAGTGATGCAGACACATCACTGTGTGGAGCTGAGATACGCGCAATAGCCAGATGTTGGGAAGGGAACAGCACACTAGCTTCTACACAGGATTTTCTTGTCTTTAGGTCATTTATCTCATCTGAAACAGTCCAAGTACGAACTCTAAAGGGATGTATTCACATAAGAAAAACAAATTTCCTGCCTTTGCAAAACCAAACAAGATTCAGTGGATAGGACAAAGACACTTAAGTTGTGCCATTTGAGAATGTGTTCTTCTTAAAATTATATACAGGAGGGGCTGGCGCCGAGACAGGTTAATCCTCCGCCTGTGGAGCCAGCATCCCATGTGGGCGCTGGTTCCAGTCCCAGCTGCTCCTCCTCCAATCCAGCTCTCTGCTGTGGCCTGGGAAAGCAGTAGAAGATGGCCCAAGTCCCTGGGCCCTGCACCTGCACCTGCATAGGAGACCAGGAAAAAGCTCCTGGTTCGTGGCTTCGGATCAGCAAACCTCTGGCCTTTGTGGCCAGCTGGGGAGTGAACCAGAGGAGGGAGGGTCTTTCTCTCTCTCTCTTCCTCTCACTGTCTATAACACTACCTCTCAAATAAATAAATAAAATCTTAAAAATTGTATACATGAAATACATGAAATTTTCCTTTATATAAATATATACATAAGAATTAAAGCAAAAGAATATAAGGAGAAATTCAATCCTTCCCTTCCTAGGTGGATAAGAGACAGCTGCTCCCATGAGTCACTCAGAGACACTAGGAATGTATGAAACAGGGAGAGAAGAGAGTACAGGCATCCTACCCTGTGTTACAGTAAAAGGACTCAAAGTTCTCTGTACCCACCAGACCCAGGAAAGCAAGACAAACGGTAAGCAACCAAAGGGAGAATAAGCTGGTTCAAGAGCACAATGTCTGAATTAATAATGAGGCAGAGCATTCAGATAACCATACAGCATGGCAACCACAGAAAAGGAAAAAGTATTGCTAATTACAGGATAACAGTTCAAAAAAAGACATAATGTTGTCACAGGAAAATAGGGTTCTCATATGAAACTGCTCCCAATCTCAAAAAAACTCAAAAATAAGTAGATTCAATTATATTCAACTGCACGGGCTGTATTTCCAACTGCAAAAATGCTATGGATATATTTCCATAAAGTAAAATGATAATCTTATTAAACTCAAAGTTAAATAAAACTTACTTTAGGAGACAAGGCCCTATACCAAAATAGTTGAAAACTATGTAGAAGAACTGTTACTAGCTGTCCTATATTTTATTTTGAGAAGAAAATGTATTTTCCATGTTAAGAATAACTTAAAATTTTTGTCTTAAAGAAAACTGTTATGTATTTAATACAGCATATCTAAAATTACCAAATTTAATTGTAAAATCTTTTACACAATCATATTTAAAAGGTAGCATTTCGAATATATGAGAGTATTTCAAAAGTCTACAGAAAATGGAAATTAAGAGGTATATTTATTTTGATACAAAACAGTTTAAATCCATGCATGTAAGTTTATAGTTTTACCCTCACAGATAATGTGGAAAATATTTTTTTTTAAAGAAAACGCCCATCAGTCAGCATCAGTGTCTGACAGACTGTCAATATTTTTTGATTACCATAGTAGCAGTTCCTGAGAACACCATCCATATGAAATTTTAACGTTACCTGCATTAATGTGTTGGATGTGAGAGTTATATACCCTTACCAACATAAGGTGGTCATTCCACTCATAATCTTTTACTCTCCCTCCTTTCTCTCTCCCCCTGCTCCCCAGGCACCACACACATGTAAGAACAACATGTCGATGTTTACACCATGCTTTCTGGAAAAACTGAAGATTTTTCCCATGCTTCTTCATGTCAGTTACTGTTTTTTCTCTCCCTCTCTCCAATCCCCTCGCCATCCCTACCTCACCATCCTCATTATGTCATTTATTCATGATCTACAAATAAAACTTTTGTTCTACTTATGAGACAGACTGTATATAATAAAATGTATTCCACTGATCAATATTTTTCAAGTTCCAAGATAAGATAGTGTCACCTCTAAATTTTCTTTTTGGCTATAGAATAAACAAAGTAATGATAAGTGGTAAGTGATCTGAAGTACATATTTGATATTTTGATAATTATTTTTACTTGTTTTGTCTAAATTTACAGTATGAAAAATACCAATTTCTTAAAAGCTGAAAAATCCATAATGTAGCATTGAATACAAAATGACAATGAATCCAAGCAGTGAAGTCTCCAATTCACTTAGTATTCCAATCACTGATTATTCCAAAAAGGTTCTTAATTTGATTATTCACACAAGAACATCCACAAAATCCAAACAAAAATGTTCCTATAATTTTTAGGTATGTAACAATCTTTATTCAGTATTTTTCTCCAAATCATAGCATGTAAGGTGATGTAAGTGTCCTGTCTCATGACTCTAAATGGAGAAGCCATGTCTGCATTTGTTAAAACCCATAAAATTATAATGATATCAAAAGGAATTTTAATTTCAATAGGTTTTCAAAATATCAACCAGAATTGTGGGGCCTGAACAAAATGAATTACAAACTTTAACAAATGAATCTGACAGTATTGTAAGTCAATAACAAACTTCACTATGGAAAACAGTAATTGACCAGATATTCTGAATGCTAAAAGGAACAACATACAAATAATGCAATCCAGTAAAATTGGTTTCTAAACACCACTCTCCATTAAAATGAACCACAGGGGCCAACACTACGGTGCACTCTAACAGTTGAGCCCCTGCTTGCAATGCCAGTTTCCCATATCAGAATGCCAGTTAAGTCTCAGCTGCTCTGCTTGGGATCCAGCTCCCTGCTTTTGTGTCTGCAAAGGCAGAAGATGGTCCAAGTACCTGGGCCCCTGCCACCCACATGGACACCAAGATGAGGTCCCTGGCTCCTGGCTTCAGAATGGCCCAGACCTGGCTGTTGCAGCCACTTGCAAAATGAACTGGAGGATGGAAGATACCTATCCCTCTTCCCCTCTCCCTCTCACTTTGGCTCCCCCACCCCCTCTACTGTCCTACCATCCAAATAAATAAATCTTTAAAATGAATACAAATAATCACAGTTCCCTGGAGAAGTAGTTGATTAGAAGGCTGAAGCAGAGAAAATATCTTGACACTAGACTACATTGATACCAGAAAATTTAAAAATTGATCAAAAGAAACATACAGAGGACATAAGAAACAATGCAAAAAGCTACCAGTAACCAAAGTTGGGAAAATTTGATCACTAAGAGAAAGGATAGTAAGAAATGACAATAATATTGAATTCTAAATCACAGAATAAAACAAAAATCCATGCAATGATACTTACATGAATAAATAACACCATGAACAAACAAATGTGGAGGAGAGGTAACTTCTTTACATAAGAATTCCAAATAATAAGTATAAAAACAGGAGAAACAGAAAATCACCATCAAAATACCACAATAAGGAAGAACCAACAAAGTGATTTGCTTTGCATTTTCTCTTTTTTACAGATTTACTTATTTGAAAGGCAGAGCTACAGAGAAGAGAGATCTCCATCTGCTGGTTCGCTTCCCAAATGGCCCCAAGGAACATGCACTTAGAAATTAGAAGAAAGATCTCTTTAATTCAAAAAATACTTACTGAACATCTGCTAAATGCTAGTCTCAGAATTGGGATGTGAGCCGGCGCCGTGGCTCACTAGGCTAATCCTCCACCTTGCGGCGCCGGCACACCGGGTTCTTGTCCCGGTTGGGGCGCCGGATTCTGTCCCGGTTGCCCCTCTTCCAGGCCAGCTCTCTGCTATGGCCAGGGAGTGCAGTG